GTATAAATTTGATATTATTTTAACTCCCTTTGAAAACCTCAATTTTCCATACAGAGGGAACGGGAATAGCATCCAATATTCCCTGAGAATGGTTGCGCATTCTCAGTTCCCTCTATATTTCGAACGAAGCTCTCATCGGTCTTTTTTTTAATACTAAACGTTTTTCCCATGTCACTTTTAGCTAAAATTTGGGTTTGCCTATCCTTAAGTGCATTGATCAATGTAATCTCAGGGGGAGCATTGATTATAAAATAAGATGAAATTTTAGAATAAACTTTGTTCTCAATTTGGAAGTAAATTTCGTATGGAACATTTCTGGAACTTCCTGAATTATTAACAACAATTGTAAAATCGTTTGAAATGTAATTATTGCCAATTGTAACTGTTCCAATTAATTCTGGTGGATTGTTATCGTATTTGAAGATGACATTGAGATTTGTACCAATAGAAAAATCAACACCATAACCAACAATTGTAATAGTGTCATTAACTTTGTAATTAGATGATGGTGGAATTCTAAATAGCATTGCTGGAGATTGATACACACCAAAATCAAATGTATATGGCCTTGAATAAACTCCTTCTGAGTTCAATGCATTCATAGTGATATTATGAGCACCATTGACTTTGATTGATGGAATTTCAACTTCATATGTTTTCTCAGTACCATCTGAAATGTAATTTGCATAGCTTGTATAAGTTTCTTCGTTATCGAATTTGTAAAGTAATTGAACTCTGTTATTGACATTACTATCCATTACTTTTGCTGTCAACTTGAGATAATCACTAAACCTTTTGGCTTGATCAGATGGCAATCCATCTTGAATATGACTAATAACTGTTAATACTGGTGTTGATTTGGAGGCACTGTAATGAATGGTTTTGGTAATGAAATTAGATATTGCATTAAATTTATCTTTGGAATAAACTTTAAGATCAAAAGTCTTATCCTCGCTAGAGTCAATTGTGTAATAAAATACTTTATTAACGATGCTTCCATATGACTCAATATTTTTGAAAATTTCAACTTCATTTTGAGTATCAGTTGTTAAATAAACTGTTGCTTCTTTGTTATCATATATTCCAAGATTAATCTCTATTGAAGCTGGTTTGTAATAATATTCATCAATCATCTTATTGAGAATCAAAACTGGAGGTGCATTTATTTCGATATAATGGCTGTAGTAATTTGTTGAAATTGCACCTTGACTATCTCTGCCAACTAAGACTAGATAATGATCGGATAAAGAATTGGGAATTGTTATATCAAATGAAAATATAGTGGAATTCATTGTTTCTGTGATTGTTGTATCTGTTGCATATTGCTCGTTTTCATTGTCAAGGCTATAATAAACTTTGATATGATATCCTTGAATATGGTCATAAACAACCGCCTGAACCGTTACTGTTTCATTTGGCTCATAATATCGTTTGTATGGAGAAACAACATCAACACCGGGTTCTCTCCTCACATCAAAATCAAGTTTTATGATGCTAGATGTTGACGATGTTTGATCAAACGCTTTGATTCTAATTGAATGTTTACCATTTGATTGCGGAACTTTTATAAAACCAGAAAAATCTTGATGAAAACCATTTCCTGGGAAATGTGTAAGTTCAGAATATTGATCATTATCCACTGTGTAATGAATAAATATGATATCTCCTCGATCGATATCTTGGACTTTACCTGTGATGTAAATGCTCTCTGAGAAATGATACAATTTCTTTGCAAGAGAATTAACATTCAGAGTTGGTGCATGTGATCTTGTTAATGTGAAATCTTTCTGAAGGATGTTTGATTTTGATCCATACTCATCAATAATTTGAATGCTTATTGTATGCTCAACAAAATCAAGGGCATCAGGGATACTTGCCTGTGCCTGAATAACATGAGGTACACTGTAATTCATATTTATGTAATCGGTAATAAAACAGTAATTTTCTCCATGAGAATGTTCATCATAGCAATATCTGACTTTTGCCCTCGTATCATCTGTTACCAATAATTCCAGATTAATATACTCACCTAATGCATATTGCTCCTTGAAGTTCAACCAATCATTAATCACAGGAGCTTTATCCACATAAATACTAAAATACTTGTTATGACTCCATTCATTCTTTGTACTTTTTGCAAGAATCCAAAAAGAATGAACACAAGAATAAGAGGGTACAATAAAAGAGAAATTTAAATCATTTGATCTATAATCATCATTAAGGGTGCACCCGTATGTACGTTTATTTGAGAGGAGGATTACCCTCTCAATTTTGAGGGATTCGTTAGTTTATTTTCTCGATGAATATGCAATAAAATTTGATTTTTACCTTATCAATATACTTCATATAATATACACATGTTCATGTAAAAACTTTTTTCCAAAATCCTCAGGAATTAAGGGATTTTTGAATTTTAAGAATTTTTTTCGAATTTTTTCGAAAAAAAAATATTTTCAGAATATAGATCCAAGGTGATGTGATTTTTGCATCCCTGGGATGGACGATACACCCAAAGTGTCACCTTTTTGGGATAACATGAATTTGAAATATCATGAGAGTTCTGCAAACCATATGCACAATATCTATTCAGCCTGACTTCTTGTATATATGAGTTAGACTTCTTAAATATTGTGCTTGGGGCGATATAAGCATTTCCGAGATTACCATCGTGCTCTATAGTATGCTACTTCTCCCTGGTTCTAGCTCAGTTCCAAGGATATTGGCGTTCAAGGATTTGGCAAGGTCCTTCCGAAGTCTCTCATTCGATGAGAGATTTCGGAAGAATCTTGCCTTAAAGTACTCCAACTCTTGTTCTTTTGTTCCTAAATAGTGAGAAAAGTTATTTGACTACTTAAGGTAGAGATTATCCGAGGTCCCTCATTTGATGAGAGGCCTCGGATAATCTCTGCCTTAAAATTGTACACTTGTAGTCCATGAGAGTGTAAGTATACATTGATAGGACAGCTTTCTTCTGAAGTCTTAGATTTGATGAGAACCTCAGAAGAAAACTGTCCTATTTTATAGTAAAAGGAGTTTCAGGAGCTCCAAAGCTCCCTTTCGTAAGGATTAGGAGCTTTGGAGCTCCTGGTTCGTAGATGTGTTTCGCATCTTTCATCAGCAAAGGACATTTACCATCTGGGACTCTGTTGATGGAGACTCAGGAGCTCCAAAGCTCCCTTTAGTAAGGATTAGAAGTTTTGAAGCTCCTGGTTCGTAGACGTGTTTCGCATCTTTCATCAGAAGAGGCCCAAATGGTAAATAGCCTCTGCTGATGAGCTTCAGGAGCTCCAAGGCTCCCTCTCGTAACGATTAGGAGCTTTGTAGCTCCTGAAGGTAAGGTAGGATTGCTCTGATCTCTAATCAGTAGATGCCATGCCTCATTATGAACTCTACTGACAAGAGATCAAGAGCTCCAAGGACTCCCTTTTGAGTTAGTGGCGTTCTCATCATTTAGTAGGATTGCTGATCCTACTAATGAAGTGATCACTTAGTATACGTTTTGAATAAATTGAATTTTTTTTAGAATTTAGTATTTTTTATAGACATCACATGTATATTATAAATACATAAATATATTCTTTAATTCAAAAAATTCAATTCGGTTTTGGGATGGGTATCCCAGCCCCAAGTATTCAATTTTATTCAATTTTTAAAGAATTTTGGGTTGGGATGCCCAGACCAAAACAAGCTTTATATTTTGATGTGTAGATACGTATGTGTGCATCATTGTTGTGTTATATATTATGTTTTTAATGAAAAAAATCTGATTCAAAAAAAATTATCACTAATTAGTTGATAATATAAAGAAAAAAATAGATAAATTGTATGTTTTGAGAGTATTTATCCACATTCACTCATATGAATTTCATTAAATAGCGTCTTTTTACTCCCAAATTTATTTTGAATTATTGAAATCAAAGAAAAAAAATTAGAAAAATTTCTCGAAATTTTTATTTTCAAAAAAAATTTGGATTTTATATTGAAAACTGACACTGGGAGGACGATAGGGCTGGGATTGGAGATACCCCGCTCACTTGGGAAAAATACGGATCTATATTCAGAACAGCCTTAACGGCTAAGATTTAGGAACAATGTTAAGTATCAAAAAGAAAGGAGGTCTGATATAGATAACATATATCGTTGAAGGTTGAAAAAATCTCTAATATTTGAGCCCAAAATTTCAAATTTTAATTTTTTGAAAAAAAAGGCCACCCGTATGTACGTTTATTTGAGAGGAGGAGGATTATATTTTTGAAAGGGTGAAACATTATGAATATGTTAATTATATAATAATATGTATTATTATAAAAAAGAAAAAATAAACCACGTTAAAATTTTTCTTTCTTGATTTTTTACAAAATCTACTTAGAATTATGCAAAATATGACTAAATAATTATAAATTTCAAGTTAAATTTTAATTTTGATAAATAATTTAAATTTCAAAATATCAAGTTCAGTTCGACTATGTATGTAGTAATTCCTCAATAAAGTGCCAAAACCCTATTAAAATATATGAACATTTTCAACATTTTAATATTTTTATTTAAAAATTTGATGGAATATGAGCTTCAAACAATTATTATGTAAATAAAAATAATTAAATATATGTATTTTTTCGTAGTACAACCGTAGTAAGTCGATTCTTCCTTTCTTCTACTGAGTTTTGAATTTGATTTCGAATTGTAAAGAGATTCAAAGGGAAAATACTAGCGGATAAAAACTACCTCCATGAAAGGGTCATAATGGAGTCAAGTTGTATTTTTTGATATTTTTTGCTTTTCGAGCCTAAATAGGTAGCCAAGATAATGCCTAAAAATAAGGTTCTAAATTCTGAAGTTTACATGATCCTCTCGTGTGCACCCTTAAGGTAGAAAAATATGATTTTGTAAAACTCTCAAATTTACCGGACCGACATTATGTACCTGGATCAGTTGTTAAATTCGAAGGTTTTGTTGCTGATTTTAATCCAGGAACCCATGTACAAGTATGCATCCAGTATTTAGATTATAAATATAAAATAATCACTGATGCAATTATTATTAATTTCCTTAGTAACATTTAAAGATTCGGCTCCAATGCTATTGACGGCCGAGAATGTGTAATAATGATATCCATTAGATCGTGGAACAGGGGAGCTATATGTAAAATTGTGCACAATTCCATCTGATTTTGCCGAATATACAAGGATTGGGATTTCATTATCTAAGAAAAGCGTTACATTGATAATATTTTCCACTGCTTCATCAAATACTGAAACACTTAATGTTATATTTTCATAAAATCCATAGTTAGATGTTTTTTCGTTATACACTTGAATAACTGGTGCAGTTCGAGAATCATAAATGAATTCTTGTGTTTTTGTTTCTGAAATATTGTTATAATTATCTTTAAAATAAACCGATATAGTATTAATACCTTGTTCAAGATTATTTGGTAATGGACAATGATATACAATTGTCTTATTGGATACTCCATCAAAATTATATCCACCTGGAGAATCTTTAAATGGATCTGAGTTAAATCTATAAAATAATTCAACATGTCTTTCATCATAAATAGTGGAATTAATAATGATGAATGAATTATTATAATGAGGCTTGTCGAAAGAAACCCAATCAATGAAAATTGGTGGTTTGTTAACATCATAACCCACTGAATTAAATGTACTAAATTGTTGCTCTCCTTGTTTCAGTACATGAAAATTAATTCTATGGGATCCATAATTATTTGGAATTGTTATATTAAAAGTTATATTCGGCGACCTATAATTGCTACCAATTATAACATAATCAGATATTTGAATAGGGTTACCATTTTCAAAACTATAGTATAAACTTACATTCGTGTTTGGTTCATAATCATGAATAAATCCTGTGAATGGCAATGCCTCACCACCTTCAAATATACGTTGATTTGTAAGTTGCGTATATTGGAAACCTAAACCTCTCCGAAGATTAATAAATTTTTCATAACTTTTTGATATATCTGTGTTATCAGTAACTTTAAATGCGAATTTTGTATATCCATCCTTCCTTGGTCCTGTATAATAATATTCAATAACTTTTTCCCTTCCATCAGAAATATAATTGTATATGGAAGAAAACTCAGAATTGTTGATGCTGAATGATAAATCTACAATATTTCCAACATCTTGATCATTTATTGTGCATATGAATTTGATATCTTGATAAAAGTATATAATTTCATTTCTCCAAACATAGTTTGAAACTGATAATGTTGGGGAATGCCTTTCATTGACTCGAAAACTAAAATTGTAAATATCAGATTCAACATCATATGTATCAACCATCTTTAATGAAATTAAGTATTCTCTTGTAGCATATCTTGCTTGCAATGTTCGATTAATCCAAACAAATCTGCCATGCGAACTTTCATAATTAAAAGCCTCCCATGACATATCATCATACTTATAATGAAGCTCACAATAACCCGTTCCCATTCCTAAAACATTAAATGAAATTACTTCGCCAACACTATATTCTTCTTTCAAAGGTTGAATATAACTAATAATTGGCTTCATATCAATTAATACACGTAATTTTGTTTTATTTGAATAAACTCCTGTGTTATCCTGTCCATAAATTTCCAGCCAACGATCATCAGGATAATTAATTGTGGTGATGTTAATTGATGTAATTGGAGAAGAGAAATTATCAAAAATTGTTATATTTTCAGGAATTTTAATGGTTTTGTCAAGATAATAAAATACATTAACAATCGATCCTGGATTATAGTTAAAGAAATACAGATCAACAATGAAATATGAATTAACCTCAAAATACTTTTGGTTAGGGAAATTCACAATGCAGACACTTGGGGTTATATCAACATCAAATTCAATTGTTATGATATTTGATTGAGCACCTGTTGAATCATTAGAATAGAACTTTAATGTATGATGTGCACTAATCATTGGATAATAATACTGATATTCAATATTAACAAATGTTCTGTTAGGTGAAACAGTTGCAACTAATTCAGGAAGATTTCTGTCTGCTACAACATAAATTCTATTCTCTTGATCATAGTTGAAATCCATGCATTGAATCTCATATTTTGCAGAAGAATTACTCATGAAAAATTTTGTGCCTGTATACTTTGGAATTATTTTGATATAAGGGAGATGATTATCTAATATTGTAAAATTAAATACTTGTTCATCTCGATATTTTCCTAACCCAAATGATAGTGAAATATTATGCAAACCGCAATGGAATAAATTGTTTGTAGAAAATGTTTTTGTAAAATTGTAAGTTTCTCCGCTCATTTGGATACTAAAGGTTTGGCGGGATTTAATGTCATTGTCAAAGTAATAGTATATATATGCACTAATTAATGATGATGTAGAAACGTTTGCAACAATATCAAATGATTCTCCATATGAAACTTCTGTTTTTGATATACCCAATGAATTAAAACGTGCAATTGGAACAATGTGAATATAATCTCTCCAAACAGGGGTTGTGGTTATTTCATCTGTTGCTGAGACATTAATCCAGCCTATTGTATATCGAGCAACAAATCTAACATCAGCTTTAAATTCAATGTGATAATAATTGTTGTCATTAGATCTAAAGCTTGGATCTGTAAAGTTTTTATAATAAACATCTCCATTATCGCCTAAAAATGTTGTCATTAAAATGATTGTTTGATTAACTGCAAGTCCTTCAACATCACATGAAAAAGAAAGTTCATTATCAGCTTGGGTGTAACTTGCTAAATTATTGCATTCTATAGATGGATTTGGGGTTGGAAGTGGAGTTGGATCAGGAGTTGGTTCTGGAGTAAATTCTGGGTCAGGATTTTCTTCAACATCTGTATTTCGAGGTGTTGTTTCAGTTGCAGATTCTTCCTCCATGAATTCCATTGAATATGTTAGATTTTGAATGGATTTATATCCTGTATCAGTTGTCAGCCATAAATATAAAGTGTGCTGTCCCTCGGTTTCAGGAGTACTAAAAACTATAGAATTTCGATATTCCATCATTTCATATAAATCAATTGTATGGATAGTGAATGATTCTTGGCCATCCCACGATCCATGTAATGTTACATTGCAAGGGAGAAGTCGAAACATTCCAATCTCCATCGCAATATTTCCGAGTGGGAAAATCATCTCGTCTGAGTAAAAATATATTTCAAATTGCGGAAGTATTTGATCTGATATGGTAAATTGAAAGTGAAATACGTTGGATTTAATACCGCCATCAGTTGTTAATCTAATTGAAAGATCATAATTGCCTGGAATGATATGCCTAGCAATTTCTTCGTTTAAAGGACCTTCAATCAATTGTGCTGTGTAATTTGCAACATTTGCTAAGATCATAAAAGGGAATTCGATGTGGCATAGATCTGATGAGTAATGATAATTGGCATAGCTAAAGTATGAGTTATTAATACTAATTTCCAACTCTGCAAAATCAGTTGAATTAAATGACATATTCAAAATTAATGGTTGACCAATTGTAATAATATTATCAAGTAATGAAGCACTCAAAATTTCAGGTCTTGTTTGAATATTAACAGAGAAATACTTGCATATTGAAATACTTCTGTCTTGAGAAGTAGCATTAACAAAATAAACTACATATTCTGGAGATTCTTGACTTATTTGATCAGATATATTGAAATATTCTGATTTATAAGAATCTTGAGTTGTAACAGAATAAGATAAAGTAGTATATTCTATTGGTTCTGAAGTTTCAAAACAAGGATAAGATTCAATATGAATGAAATTATCGGAGTATTCATATGGATATTCATTTTGTTTAACAATTCTACTTTGTTTTGATTTATTACTGCTTTTAGTATTATATGATGATTCATCTTTAAGTTTTCTGGTGTAGTAATTCATCATGTTTCCAGAATTAGCTTTTCCATAAGCAATATTGAATATTGTATTTGGTGTAAAACCATCAAGTTGACCACTGAAGTTGAAATAATTTCCTCTTTCTGCTGCTATACGATAACCACTTCTATAGCTGTAGAATTCGAGAGATGGTAATTCAACAATAACATAAAAATTGAAATAATGTGAAGCACCATATATATCTCTAATTTCAAATCCTTCGGTCTGTAAAGAATCCAATTGGCGTTTGGATGGATCGATATGAAGAATGTGTTGATATTGAATTTCGGTATTGGAATTACCAATTGTGAAATTTGTTATTTCATTATAAACTGGGCCATTCATGTCATAATAACGATAAATAAGAGTTATAATATTGTTAGGAGGGCTTTTAATGGTCATGTTTACAGTTGCATTCATTGAGATTTTGGTGGCTATTCTGTTATATGACATTGGAGATGATATATCTAGTTGATGGAAATAGTCGATAATGATGTTAAAGCTCTTTAATTCAGTATTTGCGCCTGATACAAAAAATCTCACTATATTTTCTCCATTTCTAAGGTATTTTTTGTCATATGGGATTCTGAAGATTATATAATATATTCCATTCTCCTGATTGGAATAATAATAAAACTTATCTTCGAATGCATCGTTATATATGCAATAAATATTCCGACTTGAGCTTGTAGTGTTAAATTTCATATTAATGGTTCCATAGTTGATGATATGTGATTGTGGTGGTGAAATAATATCAAAACTTTCTTCTTTTGATGAAATTGTTATATAAACGGGTTCCGAATTTGCTGAGAATTGTGAATATACGAAGATTTTTCTTATATCACTAGATGGGTGGCCATAGAACGAAATATTGATTGTTTCAGCAACTCCTGCTTCTTTGGATGTGAAATTTCCAAGAATCAACCGGCTTGTATAACCTTCAGAGCCGCGATAACTTTCAATGAAATATAAAGTATTGCTCTTTGTCGGGATAACTGTAATCGGGAATAAATTGTTAGGATTTGCAATGGTTTTGTCAACTGATATTGTTGGTGTTGGTTCTAAATTTGTGTCATCAGTAATTATTAATCTAAATTGCAAAGTCTGATATGGTTCTAGTATATACCTATTCCATCCTAACACCCAACTTGATATGTTTGAAAGCAATGAATGATGAAAACATGTATTCCTTGTATTAAAAGATCTGATATTTTCATCAAAAGAATCTCCCAAGATATTATGATAAAAATAGTTTGGAGGTGTATTTCTATCTGCAGAAATTATTATATTTCTGTTTGAATTGCGCTCTTTATAGGTATATCCTTGAATTCCTGCAAATGTTATAATATCTGTAGAAAAATCATCCGAAAATGGAGCTTCTCCGTATATATAAAATGAAAATTCACGATTTACTGTATAATTACTTTGAAAAGTAAAATTTAAAAAAATGGAATTTTCATTTTCAGGAAAGGTCACTTCTGTTTTGATATCAATACCTTTATAGAAAATTTCTTCGTCATGAGAGATATTATACTTGAACTTCATATCTACGGCATAAATCTCTGATTTAATTCCGAATTGAGTTATTGGATTTCCATTATATAAAGGCTGGAATACTTTGGTTTCTTGATCTATCTGATTAACTGTGAATAAGTTAGATTTAACATAATAGAGGAAGAAAAATAACATTTTGAAAAAATGATAAATATTTTGAATGCCCATATAAAAAAATTGAAGCCATTGAAAATTATAAAACACATAAAAATCAACTATGGTCAGTTCAATTCAATAAACAGGATAATAGAGTTTAAAAAATTTTCCTTGAAATTTAAAAATGGCTAAATGCGATGTAAAAGGGATAGACGTAAGGTATCATACACTTTTTACTTATGGCCCAACAATTTAGAAATTGAATCGCTTCTCAATTTATCGGACTAAGTAATTATTATGGATGGATATACAGAACTTAATTTTGTCCGATAGATAATTGTCAGAAAATTGAAATAAAATTGACGATTGGTTATTTATGAAAAAGTGATTATATGGAATCTGTCTAAATTTTATAATTTGTATTTTTATTATGAATTGATAGCTTGTAAGTTGATGCTGTGATGAATTGCATTCATTTTTCCCAACGACAATCAGATTTCAATTTAACGTTGGTAGATAGTATATCGATATTATAATATAGCATCAGATACCTATATAGAATATTGTATTTTTAGTTAAAACTAGAAATAAAATTAATTTCAATAAAAAATTAATAAATATTTTCGTCATGTTTATAGCTAATTTGCATAACATTGATGATTTGATACCAAATTTATTCGTTTTTAAAGTCAACGATGATTTTTCTGAAAAAAAATTATTATTATCAATAATTTATCTTTGTTATAATGGAAGCGTGCTTCGAATAAGCTATATAATTCCTTAATTGAAGTGAAATAAGATTGATAATGAAAATGAAGATATATGTAATGGAGTCAATAGTAAAAATTACAATGAGATTTCATTGTCAAGATATTTTCAATCTTTCTGCAAAAAGGAGTGTATTCTTCATTTAATAAGAGAATATATGATTTATTTATGATATTAGATGATTTCTGTTTCATCTATTGATTAAAATTCAAAAACATAATCATCAAATTACAAATTTTGACAAAAAAGTATCAATTTACAATATTTTGAATGCTCATCGGAAATCTTCATGAACAAACATGTCGATCAAACGCAGATTTTTATGATTCTATTTCAATGCGGTCATCTTACCCACGGATGCAAGGTATTAATATTGAGTATTGGTTGGAGAATTTATCAATTTTAAGATTTCCAATCATAACATTGCAAAATATTATTTGGCAGCTCAAGAATTCTTTGAAGATATGATACTCAATATAAAGCTGAAAAAGCTTACACAAGAAGAAAGAGAAGAATGTATTACACTATTTGCTAATTTTTCCAATGATGTTAAAAAGAAAATTGATACCTTGAATTCTAAATACAATTTTGCTATTACGACTTATCCCTTTTATTTTTTCCGAAACTTTGAATTGTTGTGTTTTAGAGCTTTATTCTATTGCCAAAGAGTTTTTAAAATGCATCCAAAACGGAATAGGTATGCTTCTGAAAAAATGTCGTGGCAAGCTTCGGAAACGTATCCTTGCTAAAGGCAATTATTGCAATTTATTTGGAAGATTTGATAAATTCTTTGATCATCTTGATGATTTACCACCGTATAATTTTGGTCACCAAGGGTATTTTCTAATGCTTGCGGAAAGGAAAAAAGTTCCAATTTTACTAGATGTCGATAAATTAGGATATTTCAAAGAATATATATAATTAATTAATGCAATAAAAGTGGAAATTTGAATCCAGTATACGATAGGACGTTATCTTTCATACTGTAGATGTACTACTTATCTGTAAAAAAATATAATTTTATTAATAAACAAAAAAATAAACATATAATAAAAAGAAATTATTCATTTTGAGGAAGTTGGATAAAAACAGATCCATAGCTAAGTATTTCGGTGTTTCCATTGAAAAGAGTTGTAACAGATCCAACCTTTTCATTTCCATCAAACACATCAATATTCACTGTATAAGGTGAGATGTTGTGTTCAGGTTCTTTGTCCAAAACACTCAAAGTCAACATATAAGTTCCATTGACTCCAATCATTTCGTTACTGAATCTTGCGTTATGAAGAACAGCGTTTTCAATTACAAACTCTGCATTATGAACTTTTCCAATAACGAAAAATTTGTTTTCAATTTGTTTTGTCCATGATGGTGTTTCAGGAATCTTGAATTCATCTCCGAAAGACACCAACATTCCTACATCGTAAGGAGAAGGAGGCAACTCTGTTGAGTAGTTTGAATCATTGTAATAATCAATTTTAGCTTGTGAAGGCATCATTGGTATTGCATCTTTGAAGAACTTGTTTAGTAAGTTCGAATAACTCTCTTTTACAACATCTCTATCAGTTAATGTTGCAAACAATGATGCAATGATTTTCATCCACAAGTTTCTTGTCATTGAAACATTCATTCCATTTGTTTCCCAGAACTCTTTCGTGTAAAGAAGCATTGGAAGGATGTGCTGCAACCTGAGAGGATAATCTCTTCTGTGAGAAAGTAACAAGTTGAAATACAAAAATGGCTTCAAAGATTTGGCGTTCATTCGATGGAAATAAGGAGTAATATTCAAAAATCTCGAAGCACCAAATAATGATGTCGGACGAGAAACTCTTGTAATCAAAGCATTCGGAATATGTGGTAATTTATCATACAACATTTCACTAACTAGTATATAATAGTTAGAGAATTTGTTGATATGTGTGAAATGAAGTAAAGAAGGAATTATATAATTAGGCATCATTTCATCGAAAATTACCAACAACATTGCGTTCTTTTCATGGCAACCTTTGATAATTGTGTTAACAGACATTGGTGTTGATAAACTAGCATTACTAAATGAACCAATTGTTAACAAGGTCATATCTTTCGTTGTCAAGAACTGAGACATTGCTCTTGAATACAAATCTGTTGGAATCAATGAATCAAGAATTATCAAAACAGGTCTATTTCCTGGCATTGGTAATGTATCAGGAGTACAAAATGTATAAAATGATCTTGGAACATTCATGAAACGACTTGCAACATGATTCATCAATCTCTGCAAGTTACTTGTAATAGGACGATCTCCAACACCTGGGAAATATTGTTCAAACAACAAATACTGGTTTTGAACATTGTTTTTCATGTATTTCGTTTCGAAATCAACTAAAAACTGTACTCTTTCGAAAGAATAAATAATATTCGTGAAATACAATGTCATTTCAGGGAATCCTGTTAATGTAGTCATTGGAGCCATGGATGCTCCATCTCTTGACTTCGTAAACTCTTGCAAAGCAGAAATAACTTGTAATTGATATGAAACATTCTTTTCTTGGCTCAGTTTATCATTGGATTTCGTCAATTCATGTGATGAAGCCAATGATTGACATAATCCCGTGAATTGCTTGTATCTAAAGATTGCGTTAGGATGTTCATTCGATAAAGCATTCATTTGTGTCAAGTTATTCACAGAGTTATGTATAATTCTATATGAATCATTAAACAAATCAACGTTCTTTTGATAACTCATTAAATAATCGTTATTTGTAAACAAAAATTCCCAATCTTTCAAATCTTTGAACTGATCTAACAAAGAAATAACTTGTTTGGAACAAGTATCAATGGAATTGATGTCCTTGATGTAAGTATCTTTGATTTGGGAATTAATTGTGAAAACTGTGGCCATTTCAAACCATTTTGTCTGGTTGACATTTGTAATAGAACAATCAACTAAAACAAAGTCTTTTCTTTGATTTTGTAACAAATCAGGGATTTCTGTAACAAAGAAAATCTTCGTATTTTCATTGATTTTACTGTCTTCGCCATCAAAAGTGATTACTTTCGTCGAAAGATACTGAATCATCGTGTGTCTCGCGAAAGTGAAGAAATCATTTAAATTATCTAAAGAGTCAATATAAACTATCAAAGGATAACCATTAGATAATGCATGTATGAACACAGAGTAAACACTATCTTTGGAAGAAATGAAACAACAAGAACAATTTTTGTAATTTCCAATAATTGTTTCAACAATTAAATCCAAAGGATCGTAATAAACCAAGAAAGGAGCCGGTAAGTCATATCCAGGCAAACTATAATTACCAGGTAAGAGTTTCGTACCTAATATCGAATCATAACTCAAAAGTGAACTGAAAATAATCGTTGTTGAATTTGAAATCAATTCATTTTCAGAAAGAGGAGAAAACAAAGACAATTTCTTGGTAACAGGAGCGAAAATGTCGAAAGAAATAAATTGTTCTAATAATCTAAATGGAGAAGAGAAAACAGCTGCGTCAATTCCAATTTTGTTGTATATTTCATTTCTTTCTTTTTGATTCAATTTTCCGAAACCAAATTCGAAAGCAGTGAAAATTGCGCACCAAACTATTAATGCTTTGTCACAACTCTCTATTTGTTTGTTCATTTTACTTAAGTTGATCATGAACTGTTCAACAGATTCAAGAATTTTTGTGACATTTTGTGGATTGACCAAAAAAGCATCCATTATCCATTTCGGACATTTTCCATTTTTAGTTTGTGTCTCCAATCTGTTTGTTAGATTTGTTAGTTCCTTTTCATCTTTTTCAACTTTTGTTTGGACTTTTTCTATCTCGTTTAATGGATCTTCCAATGAATTTTGCAATTCCATGTTTGTATCATTTAATTCTACATAAGTGACACAAATATGAATGAAATCTATCAAATAATTAACTAAAGGAATATCAGATCTAAAAGTTTCTCTATTACTTTGTAATTTTCTTAATAGTTTTTCTGGTTGAGAAGATTTCTTGAGTCCCCAACTTTCGATTTTAGTAAATTGGAATTTATCTGGTGAATCCAATTTAAATTTCTTAATTGCAGAAACAAGTTTTGTGTCTTCTTTCTCACCATAGCATTCTGTTAAATTATTAACACCAACAAAACTAAACATGTCAACAAATAACTTCGAAAACTCCGAAATTTCATCTTTTTTGTTAAATGCATGCATCATTTTTCTTTGTTCTAAACTTGTGAAACTCGAGATAGAATTAACAGTAGATTCGAAATCTTCAACAATATTCTTGTTAAGTTTGTTCTTATTCTCACTTATCTTTCTTCTTTTGTCATCAACTTCTTTTTGTAATTGGGATAAACGGTTTTTATCGTCTTCCGATTTCATTCTCAAATTTTCTTTTTGTTCCAAAATCTTATGTTCTTGTTCTTCTGAGATAACTGTACCATTACTTATATCTTCGATCATCTTCTTCATTTCAACGAAAGATTCACAGTGATCAATTAATTTTGACACTTTTTCTTCAAATTTTACAATTTTTTGTTTGAAGAAATCATTTCTCATCTTCAAAATATCATCGAACAAATAAGGAGAAATAGAGATAAATGGTTTGAATATGTCTGTTATCTCTTTGTGTTTGATTTCTTCTTCCATTATGTCATCGCAATTTTCGTATCTAATTGTAATCATCTTCTTTTTGAAGAGATTTGGAATTTTCTCATATAATTCGTTATTAACCAAAACAAAGAAAGAAATTGATTTCAAGATCTCTGGAATGATTGGTAAATCTTGAGATTTCGGATCATAATAGTACTTAAAGATCTGTAAGTCAGCAAGTTCGAAATAAGTGGAATAATCACTAGAATCCGAATTAAACATGAATAAATCTAAAACGTTATAAACTTCATAAGGATTCAATGCTTGTAAATCAAACAAAATTGCGGTTTTTTGTTTGTTTTCACCTGCTTTGACCAAACAAGAGAATAACTGGGTCTTGAATCTGTTGTTAACAACGAAATACTGGCAATCTTTGAGTTTAGTTACAGGATAACTGTTTTCGCAAACTAAAATCGCACTTAAATTCAATTTCATGCATTCTTGAATTTGCGAAACAAAAATTTTGTCACTTAGATACATCATATCATTTTTGTTCTTGTTCAATAATCTCTTCACATTGTTCTTATTGAAATTATAACATTCTGCGCATTTTGTAGCTGTTTCTAATCCGAAATAAAGCGAAGTCAAAACGAAATAATCACTTTCATCTTTGATTTTCGGAACAACTTTGGAAAACTCAATTGCTTTGTGGTAATCATTGTTTTTAGCAATTTCTTCTTTGAGTTTGTCCAAACTTTCCTTTCTAACTGCTTTTGTATCAATGGTTTCATTCAAATTAATATCGAATTTTGGAAATTCAGTGATTAAATAATATTGAACTCCCATATCATTAAACAAAGAAATATCTGTTGTTGTACAGATCAAATGGATGCCTCTAACATTCTGGTATTTATCGAATGTCCTAAAGAACAATGATCCGAACATTACTAGTGCTTTGATGAACTTTTTCATTTCGAAAATTGCTTCTTGAACATCAAAAACAACAATATAGATTTCGCCATCGAAATTAGGTCCGTATAAACCTCTTGTAATGAATTCCAAGTTATTCATCATGCTCATATCCACGCATTCATTGAAAGCTGATGAGAAATAAACGACATCTTCGGGTTTTGTTTTCTGCAAAATTAAGTTTTTGAGGTATTTTCTTTTTCCTGAACTCAAATCGCTTTGAATAACAATAGGAATATTCATTGCGAAAGGTGTTTCCAACTCGAATTGTTTTGTTAATCCAAGGGATTCCCTATCACCATTTCCAAACACAGCTTCTATTGTTGTTATCGCTGCAGCTGCTGCGTTTTCTTTCAAGAATCTTCTGATCAAATTTATCTTTGACAAACAAGAATTAACGATATCTTCATCAGTATCCAAAATTCCATTTACATAAACTCTTACTAATGGTTCCAATTGGTTATAAACACTAGAAATCTCTGGTTGTTGGAGAGCTATTTGTAAGAAATCGAATACACTTGGTTCCGGAGAAATCCATGCTCCTGCACCTAATTTCTCCGCTTTGCTTGAAATATTTAATGCAACAGGACGACATCCAACACATTCGAATTTAATTAAATCATCACTGATACTTACTAATTGGAATTTCGCAATGGCAATTGATTCTTTCAATGCCGCGTAGATGCAAATCATCGACATCTGATGATCTCTTGCTAAAATGTCGATTGTTGTTGCATAAGGAATGTTTGGATAATCAGGAGATTGCGAATGAGGAGCAAATGCATCAAATTTGTCAAAAATAACCGTTAATTCGTCAATTTTTGCTTTGATGAATGTAGGAATTGTTACTGAAATTGGTTCTTTCGGAATAACAATTTGGTTTGTTAAAATGTATTCACCGACATCGAAATAGAACATGTGCTGGCTCAATCCTTCTTCTTTCACATGGTAACCATTGATTAAACCTCTTGCATTGAATTGTTTGATTGCCATTGATAAATATTCAGTGGAAATTGTAGAAGGAATAGGAATATCTGGTCTTATTTGGTTGATTTTCTTGATGAAATCTTGTGGGTTCACTTTTTGGAGGTAAATTGGTCTTAATCTCGTCATCAACCATGTTGGAACTTTCTCTTCATCGATGTGTATCAATGTTTGCCATTTGTTTAGCTCGAGTTTGCGAAAATGAGATTCGCATTTCATAACTTTTGTTTGCGATTCCAACAAACCAAAGAAATTCGGAAAAGCTGCTGGTAAATCTTTGACATCTGTTAATCTGATGACACATTTACATGAAGCAGCTCCTGGGAATACATTTGAGATGATCTTCGATGACATCTTGAAACAAGGCAATCCAACGAAATCTGCAAATGATTTCACAATATTTCTGACGCCATTCATTTGTTTGCACATTGAAAATTCAGCGTTTACCATGCAACTCGCGAGACTTAGCATTGCTTCGTCTTCTGAGTCAGTTAATGGTCCAATGTCAGCATGAGAAATCAGTTCGTAACCGTATTTAAATGACAAATTTCCTATGTTTGTCATAATTTCTTCATTTCCTGTTTGGTTTGTCAAAGAATGTCTCAAATGACATTTCCAAATGAATGAATCAATATTTAAGTTCTCATCGGTGTTCATTAATTCTTCAATTATATCTCTGTGGCGTATTTTAAGAGATGCCAATGCAGCAATACTTGAACATTTTAATGAACTTTTTGACATGATTTCTGTGGCACTTTTTAGGAAATCCTGATTTTTCTGAATCAAAGCTTTCCAATCTGTTCTTTCTTTTCCTCTTGTTATTGCTGGGTTTATTACTTGTGAGAAGTAAGTAGACTCAGCAATTAACAATGATTGTGTTGGATACCTTATCATCCATTGTTTTGGAGGAGTATATTCCCTTGCAGAAATCGCATCCAAAATTGAAGCTCTGACAGAATTTTGCATTTCTTCTTCAACTCTCTGCAAAATGTCAACGACTTGTAATCCTGTATAAGGGAAATCAGCCCTGAATTGTATCATTTCTCCGTTAGTAGCTATTATTCCCATGATTGTTTCTATGTCTTTGTTTGTTGTCGTTTGGAAATGTGACAAACTTGGGAAAATTGGAATTAAATCATTGACGATAAACTTGATATTTGTACAAGCCAACATGATGTCAATGACATTCTTATCGGTGCAGAAGAAGAAACGAGGGAATTTCTGTCTTTGCTGGTCCAACAAATAAGTTGCATTCGATAAAATGTATTCGCATCTTGTTGTTCCTTCTTCAAGACATTGAACTAAGTTTTCTCCCCTGAAATATGGATCAGCACCACAATAAATCGGTTTGTCGTAGTCCTTGTTTACAACAGGAGGAGGATCTTTCGTGTCCAATGACTCTTTCTTGAAATCTCGGTGTAAAACATCTGCGAAATTTATCGCTTCTATGACAACTTTCTTGTGGCGTGGATCGGAAGCTTGCGGATCATTTGGATCTACAGGAACAATAAGTTGCATGACGTGTGGATCGAATTTGACCTGTTTTATCAGATCATTATACCATTTGTCGATGAAAGCTTTGGATTGTTCCTCATGAGGGAAGTGGATTTCGCCAAATAACGCTGAGGTTGTTTCACTCAATATGACGTATTTGGTTTGGAACATTAATAAATAATGGAATATTCTTCCGAGTTGGAAAAGAACGGCTTCCCAGTAGAGAACTTGTTTCTCAATGGAACTGTAGAACTGTGAGTCCTTTAATGTGCGAAGATAAAGCTGGAAATTCTCACATGTAGTCAATGCTTCGTAAATTGATGGGAAAGTGATAATTGGAGGCTTAATCGTTAAGGATGGCTTAACATCTAAGACTAAGGCTTTCATTTGAAGTATGTATTTATCAAATGTTTGGGAAAGATCCGCTTGTTGTTGCAAATTCATGATATAGATCTTGATTTTATCAATGTGAGCTAAAATACTTTGATCAAGAAATGCTTTCGTCGTGATCTTCTTCATGTTTTCTTTACTTTTCTCTAAGATATCAAAAATTCCTTCCCAAATTTCTTGTGTTAGCTTGATTTTTGATATGATATTGAAGAATGGCATATACTGATATAATAATGCATAATGATTTGCCATTCTATCGTATAAAGGATGGTGAACGCTTCTCATTTCTCTTTCACTGTGTTGATTGATGAAATGCATGAAGGTCAGAATGTCGATATCCATTATAGGAGTCTCTGTGATCGATGTAAGTTCGTTCATGAAGTTGTTATACGTCTTCCAATTTTCAAGATTCTTGTTTAGATCAGCTTTGATCTTTGTTCTCAAGTCAAAGTTGTATTCTGAGTATTCTAATTGGAAAGCTGTTACTTTGAAGGCTTCAATGTCATTCAAAAGTTCATCTGATATTGCAATTACGCTTTCTAAATCAGAAATTGCATTTTCTGGTTGAGCGTTGACATCAACTTTGGAATACTTAGTCTTGTTCAAGTTATCTAAGTCTTCCAAACGGTTTTCTAGCTTCTTCTGATTTTCTTTTAGTTGATTTATGACTTCTTCGCGTTTCTGCTTGACCCTGAGCTTGGCATATTCAAGAGTCTCTTCGAATTTTTTGTTTATGTTCCGAACATTTTTGAGATGTATTAAAAGATTTGGAACAAGAAGAGGAACAGATGTTTGTGCTCTCTTGAAAATCGATTCTACAAGCTCAATTGTGCTCTTGAGATTAGGAATTTCTGATTCTGCCTTTGAAATTCCAACATTAAATTTTGCATTTTCTTCAAGAGTTTCTCCAAAGTACTTCATTCCATTCATAAGATCAGTAACATCTTGAATGAAGTTCGTGCAAATGAATTCGAACTTTCTAAATAGGATTGTATTGTTTTCATCGATCGATTTTCTTGTATATTCAACTAAGAACGACCGAAGAGCACGAATATCAACAAGAAGTTGCTTGTGAACATAAGTTCCTTTGAATGTTTCAACTTCTTCCAGTGTGTTTGTCAGTTTCGTGATGTTATTTATATAAATTGAAGGATCTACGTCCTTTTCCTTCATTTCTTCCCATTGTTCCTTAAAGTCATATATAAATCTAGCTGATGTCTGGTATAATTTAAGTGTTTCTTCTGCATCTGAGTAACTATCATTTATAGATTTGATCAAATTGTTGTAATCTGACTTGAACTGGTCATGGTTCTGTATGAAATTCTTCAATATGCTTGTTTTTGGAGACATTGTAAGTTCCTTTTCGTAACCACGAGGATCAATCAAACAAGGACGCGAAAAATTGGAAAGATACATGAATAATGTCTCAATATGTTCATTGACAAGCTTAATCATACTTGTTTTGTTCGGTGAAAATGCAATATCGTTACCTTCATAATTTAATTCAAGATGCATCAACATTGTATGGGAAGAATCATAGAAAGTCTTTGCGAACGTGTGGAACTGGTTCTCAAACATGTTTAAAAAGAACTGTAAAACTGTTTTGTCGCAAACCATGAAAAAATTTCGAATTTTTTCAACTTCTGACTTTGCTCTTTGAACTCTGACGATGTGATCTATCTTTCTTTGTTTTTCTTCAACCAGTGAAAGGCTTTTCTTCCTCGGCATCTTGTGCATGTAATAAATATCTGATGGAATCTTTTTCTCTGTGATATAACTCGTATTTGCGTTGGAAACCAAATCATTATACTTTGAATTAACATCGTTTGCGAATTTGCTTAATAATTGATAAATTTCTTTTGAAATTAAATTAATTTTATCAGCAAAATCTTCTCTGGCTGTATCAAGAAGGGTATATTCCTTTTGGAACTCAACTTCACCGCTATCTTTTATTGGAAACACAGAAATTGACCTCAAAGAATTCAAATCATTTCGAATTTTGAAATAAATTGGCGGAAAAGAAAGTTTTGCGCTCCAACACGTATCGATAAAGCTATCTAGTCTTCTTTGGAAGGTCTTTCTGATCGATCTATTCCTCCAATACTTGAAATATTTGTACATTTTGAATTGAGAAAAGAATTTTATTGTTGTAATCATATTGTATTGTGATTTATTTGTTACGTATTGATCAATTGGCGTAAAATCTGATTCTCCTGTTGATTTAGCTGAGAAAACACCTCTTTTTGTCATTGAATGGAACTCATTTGTATTATCATCGAGTCTTCTGTAAAGTTTGAATGAATAAGGATCACTTTTATCAACTTGTCCAACATGGAATTGTAAGAAATCGTTCTTTGGATCAACAGCTCCCACATAAGTTAAAGCATCTGTTTCATTGTTTAAAACGAAGTTATCGTTCCATGGTATTTCTTGTTTCGTTATCTCTGTTTCAATCTCTTTCGGCAGTTTTAATGACGAAATGAAATCTCCTGCTGGTTTAATATCTTTTGGAACAAAAGGAGGAAATGGTTTGAGAGGAACATCAGACGGAATTATCGATTTAGGCCTGTGTACTCTTGATGTTTGTGGTAGAGGTGGGATGTTTCTTGATGGTAAAAGATTTGGAATTTCGACTGATTTTCTTGTTGAATTTCGAGGAGATTTTTGTATGGGTATTGCTGGTGCTCTGATATGAATGAGAGGTTGCATGTTATCATCAAAATCTATAACAGTATTTTGAAGTTTCATTGCAGGATAAACGGAGCACATCAGTTTTTCGCCTATATTTTCACTAAATCCTTTTGTGTTTTTGATAACTTGTAAGTCATCGTATGTTTCTGGTGACAAATCTGTAGTCAAACCTTTATTTTTTACTTCAATAAAGGCAACTCTTAGTTTTGGCCAGAAAGAATCAATAGAATTAGGATATTTCTGTGAATTCTGAACGAATTCTCTCATTGCCTTGGCAAGATTTTTGAACTGAGTGCTTGCCATCACTCTAACAAGAAAATTTGAATGCCAAAATTTTGAATACAAAGATTGTTAGTAATTTTTTTCTGGGGTATTTTGTAAGAGAGACCCTAAAATAAAAAAACGTTATTTATTGATGTTTTTCATCAGGAAAGCAACACATGCTGGTGAATGGTATCCAACAGATGATCAACTCAAGATCATGCTGGAAGCATCATTTCATTATGCACAACCAAAACCAAATGCAGATTTAGGCTTGAAAGGAGTTATTTCTCCACACTCTTGTTATCAAGTGTGTTTAAGAACAGCCGCATATTCTTTTTCATGCATCAATCCAGATAAATTCGAAAGAATTATTATTCTTGGAACATGTCATCATATTGCATTAAAAGCTGGCTTAGTTTCTCATGCAACCGAAGTCGAAACACCATTTGGCAATCTACAAGTCGATACAGAAGTTACAGAGAAATTAGCAACAGAATATGGCGAAGCAATTCAATGGATGGATCAAAAAGTCGATGAGAACGAACATTCTCTCGAAATGCAATATCCTTTGATCAAGTATATTTGGCAAGACCGTCCAGTAAAAATTATTCCAATGTTGATAGGATCATTAAGCGAACCAAGAGAAATAGAGATTGCAGAAGCTCTTAGCCCAATCATTACAGACGAAAAAACATTTTTCATCATATCATCAGACTTTACTCATTGGGGTGAAATATTCCATCATACTCCAATTCAATCTACGAAAAAGAAACAGCTCTCGCAACAATTGCAGATAGCTGATGAACGTTCAATTGGTATTATTCACCAATTTAACTACGAGCACTTCCGCTTTATTTGCGAAGAAATTCATGGCTCAATTTGTGGTTGCTATTCTATTTGTTTGATGCTAAGAATATTAGCAGAGGGATATGAATTTGAAGTTTTTGATAGATCAGAACTTTGTGAATTAAGAACAATGAAAGATTTCTCTATTTCATATGTTGCTGCTGGATTTTATGATAAATCACAGAGACCAGCACCAGAAAAGGCACCTGAAGAAGATAATCAGGGTATGATGATGTAAATATTTTTTTAGAATTTACTGTAAAAATAATTTTTATTTGTCACTTTTTTAGACTTTCATGATAATTTCATAGTGGTGTATTTACACTTCATAAGGGAATAAAATCCCTTATTTTATTCCCTTATAAGCCAATGCGCTTCAAATCATTTTGATATTCGAAGAAATTGTCGAAAAATGATGAGAGTTATAAGTACTTCCAAATTTTAGATATATGAAAAAGTGACATATAGATCATAATCCCTCCTCTTGAAAACCATTTAATACTGTCAAGAATATGGATGCAACTAATAATTTCTTTAAGTAAATATGAGAGTAATCATGGATATTAAAATATGTATTCTTGATTGCAAAATTAAATAAATTTTACAATAATTTAAAAATATTGACATGAATAATCATAAGACAAACATTTACTAAACATTTAAACAAGGGTTGTGTCAATAGCATCAATGATAACCTTAGAATCATACTTTGTGCAGAGAGCTTTGAGAGGAGTAATAAGGTATGATGTGTCTTGGTTATATTCACCAAACTTTGTGAAGTATTCCTCCAAAACTGGTTCGTAGCACTTTCTGACATCAGGTAAATCGTGTAATTTCATAAAGATTGGAGCCTCTTGGCCTGCAACTTTGTTAACAATAGTATTGATTGCATTTTCCATCTTTTCTGTAAGTGATTTCATGTATTTTTGGTGCTGGTAGTACCTTTCGCGAGCTTCTGGTTTAGCATAAAGTTCTGCATGTACAATTTTTTCATCTTCTTCGTCAAGCGCTTGTCTTCTAATAGAACTTTTTGGTCCAACGCCAATAAAATCGGAAATTGGTGTATCAAGAATATCACCAAATATAGTTGGAGTAGAATGGCTCATTTTTTCATGAACATTTTCAAAAAGAGAGTTAATTGTGTGGGTGGGATTCATTTCAATCTCTCTTATGACATAAGCAGAAAATTCATTGGATAAGAAGGCTCCTGCCCACTTGCTGTTAATCGCTGAATAGCTAGATTCGCTGCATTGAGCTGCGGTGATTACTGCAACGTTTGGTGATACAATAGAATCCTTTAAGCAGCCACTGTTGCAAGCCTCAACAAGGAAGAACATTTTTCTGAATTTGCGAGTCTTGCTCATAGTAATAATTGTATTGCCTAATTGATATGTAGTAATGGGACGGCCAACAGGGGTTGACAAGATATTTGCAGAGCCATGATCATTATAAAAGATGAAGAGATCATCATCCTTCGTTGTGTTGAGTTCTTTTAGATATCGAATGAATTTTGTGCTTGAGCAGTTCTCTCCGAGAAAATCAATTTTTTCTTTTCCAGGATAAATATTTGTATTGTTAAGGGTATGGAAGACTTTTCCAGGATAAGGGTTTAATTCGTTGTCTGCAATATCATTATAAGTCCACATGGAAATATGATCATCGTCAAAACCATGAGATTTTAAGATTCCATACATATAATAGACATCTGCTTGATGTCTGTAGTTAGACCAATCCTTGGAGCCTGCAAATAAGATTGCATATTTAGCACAATATCCTAAAGTAATGAAGAAAAACATTTTTTATAAAAAATTTACTTTTTTTTTCTAAAATTTATTGTCACTTTTTATAGAACGTTTCGAAAATGAAGAATGCTCATGTTCGCAAGCATAATTTCGTTTTGACAGATGGCGAGAAGCAGGAATTGAGGAAAGCCTTCAACCTTTTTGATAAAAATGGTGGAGGTACAATTGCACCTGATGAAGTTAGAGTTGCCTTGAGAGTTCTTGGCTTTAATCCAACCCTCGATGAACTTCACGCCATGATAAAAGATATTGAAGCCAGAGAAACAAGTGGACCTAAAGATGATGGTATTAACTTTAACGAATTTACTCAGATTATTCTTGAAAAAATAAACGAACCACAGACACAAGCACAACTTGTTAGATCATTCAATAACTTAGATATTGATTCAGATAATACCATTTCCCTTGATGATCTTACACATGTTGCACAAGAACTCGGTGAAGACTTGTCACCTGATGAATTAGGGGAAATAATCATGACTGTTAGAGGTTGTGCCAATGATTTCAATATTCACACTACAAATGTTGGCGCAATTTCTCAAACAGAATTTATCAATGCAATTAACCATAGTCTTGATAATTAACTAAACTGTTTGTAATATTTAAATTCAAAATTACTATGTTTTGCATAATAACTCTTCATGATATTCAAAATATATTTAATATAAATTTTCATATAAGTTAATGGTAATTTTGAAAAATATTTTGCTTAATTACATACAAATACAAACAAATATTTAGTTGCGGGAAGAATTCCCCATTTTCATAATAGCATTTTCAATAATTCTCTTTTCTTCAAGCTCCTTCTGTCTTTTTTCGGCTAGTTCTCTTTCTATTTTGGCTAAACGCTCTGCTTCTCTTCTAACTTTTTGTCTTGCTGCAGATTCTCTTCTTCTTTCGATTTGCTGAGAAACTTGTGCTGCTATATGTTGCTTTAGCCATCTATCAGCAGCTCTTTCTTGCATCTTTTGAACTTTTTGATATTGAATTTCCATCGCTCTTCGTTCGGCTTCTTCATTTCGCTGAATCTTATTCATGCAATGCATTTGGTACTCAGACATTTGTAAAGAGCGTCTATTCGCAACAATAGCGACTTTTTGTTGCTCTGCAATGCATTTTTCACAGGCGCGTTGGTAATTCGCTGCAGAATTGTTATATAAAGTTTCTCTAGTTTTCTGATCTTTCTCTTCTATCTTTTTTTGCAAATCTTCTGCCGCTTTTTGCCTTTTTTGTTCAACTAACATCGATCGAGTTCTTTTTCCGATTTCATTCTCAATTTTTGCTTGAATTGGAACAGACTCGTTAGTAGAACTAGATGATTGCGTAAGAGGAGGTAGTTTAGAAGGTTCTGGTTTGGGTTTAGTTTTTTTCTTTTTTGTTTTCTTAGATTTTTTGGAAGAAGCAGTTGGAACGCCATGAAATAGAGCACTAACTTCTATTTCAGACTTTTTAGATTCTCCTGTCGATTCTGAATCCCCAACAATTGGAGATTCATATCCTGTTAAAGGAAAAGTATTAGGATTTGCTTCTGTAGAACTTGTAGATTGAACTTCTGCTTGATCTTCTGATTCGGGTTTAATAACTTCTTGCTCTACAAATAACGGAGATTCTGTTGGCAGTGGTGGATTTTCGTCATTAAATTCTGGTTCATTTGTTGTTTCTTCTTCATTATTAGTTTCTTGTTCATTAGATTCGATGTCAGGAGCTTGTTTGACATCAGAATCCATTACAATTGAAAATTATTCGTTATTTCAAAAATTTTAGAAATCTTTTGGAAAACTATCTGATTATTTTACTGGAAATAAAAGTGTGCCCTAAATCAGTAATAAATCCTCAGAGAAATTGCTAATTTGAAGTAAATTTAATTTGGTTTTATTGTTTTGCTTCTTCCATTTTAAAAAAGGCTATGAATTTAAAAATGTAAAATCATAGGTATTTAAAAATGTATAAAGAATTTAAATGTATTTTGATAAAATAGACAATGAAAAATAAAAAAAAATATTAATATCAGATTACTTTTGAGCTGGAGCCGGAGCTGCTGCTGGTTGTGCTGCTGGCTGTGCTGCAGGCTGTTCAGCTGGTTTAGCTGGTGGTAGAGGTTTTTGAGCTGGAGGTGGAGCCATTCCTTGTGGAGCAGGAGCGGCTGCAGGTTTATCACCAGCCTTTGATGGAGATGCTGGCGGATTTTCTTGATCTTCAGGATTATCTAATTCATTTTCCTCATCAGAAGATCTTTCGAGTAATTTCTGGTTATCTGGAAGGCGCTTTGCACGAATTGATCCGAGGATAACACCAAGGATTGAAAGAACGAAGAAGAAGGCAACAACACCGATAATTATATAAGCTTCAGTTCCTAATTTAACAGATGTGAGGGTTGTTGCTGGAGCTGTTGTGAAAGTACAGTGTATGCAGCTTCCATTATTTGTTACTGAGTTAGTTTTGTTATTTTCTATGTAAATACAGGCAGGTCCAATTGTAATATTTGTTTGGTCATCGCCAACGAATGGATTTTCATTGCAATAGCATCCATTTTTGAATTCGATATGTGTTTGTGTGGAAAGTCTCTTTACTTTGTATGCATTACCGAGGAATGTTACATAATTGAAAAGAATGTTATTTGCTGATTGGATGAAAATTCTATAGCTGCCATCTTTAGGCTCTTTAAATGTCGTTCTGTTAATCGTTGCGTTTTTAAGATGGAGGAAGAGATCTGATCCAGCTAAAGCTGAATTATTAGAAAATGCACTTAATTTAACTTCTAAACTGATTTGTGTTCCAGCAACGTAGATAGAACCACCCATTAAAGCAGTGTTGCTGGTAAATGTGCAATTATCAACTAAGCCTGTGAAAGCTGTAGAGCCTACTACTTCGATGGCTCCACCGAAGAAATCTGAAGTAAGGTTAGTAAAGTTATAATATGTTTCATTAAACTCTGAACTAAAAGATTGTCTTTCTTGGTTTCGTGTTGTTGTTGTGGCTTTATCAAATACTAAAGGCGAATTTAAGAATCTTGAAAATGAAGATGATACAATTGATGCACTGCCGATCGATGAATAGAAATTAGCAAAAGAAGATGTGAATTTATTGGCAAAAATACTGTTCAATGTCAATTTCTTCGGAAGGGACGATTCCGTGAATGTAAGGAATGGTGATTTGTATGCTTTATTGGCGAGGACAAGCGAAGAAATAGTAAGGTTCATATTCTCGTAAACGAAAAAGAGGATTTGACGCAGTCAAATCTTCTCTCTCTCAAAAAGTGGACTTTACATGGCAAATTTCAAATGCATGTAAGGTCCACTTTGATCAGTTCAGGATGGAATTGGAGGCCATGAGGTACTGACATTGCATCAGTATCTCATAGCCTCCAATCCCTTCAAAAAATGGGAGAAACTTTGGTCGAATAATTTAACATTCGCCAAAGTTTCTCCCATAATTAATGAGAATGAAAGGGTAAGAGGCATATAGGGTCACTATATACCTCTTACCCTTTCATTTTCATTTGGAGGTCAACAAACCCGGAGTTAATTGCAAACAATTAACTCCAAATTTGTTTATGTTAAGGAAGGAATTGGAGGTAAGAGGTACATAGTATGAATATGTACCTCTTACCCTGCAATTCCTTCTAGAAAGTTCCAAAACTTTGGGTTAATTGCAAACTATTAACCCAAAGTTTTGGAACTTTCAAGTGGAGATGGAAGGCTTTGGGTATATATTAATACAATATACCTCAAAGCCTTCCATCTCCACTACAAATGGGAGAAACTTTGTCCGAATAGTTTAACATTCGGACAAAGTTTCTCCCATTTCAATGTAATTGCTACCTGTGAGGTACTGACTTGAAGTCAGTGCTTCACAGGTAGCAATATCCAAAAATTTAAAAACATTTTATCAGTTCGTTAGAGAACTAGAGCCTCCTAGGTACTGAACCAGAATCAGTGCCTAGGGGACTCTAGTGATCTATATAAATCTGAGAAACTTTGAGGAAATTGTTCGACATTTCCTCAAAGTTTCTCAGCAATTTAGAGGAATGTTCGTTATCGTGTATAAAATATAATAACATGATAACAAACATTCCCCGCTAAAAGATGTAAAATCTTATAAGAAATAATTGCAAAAGAATAACAAATTGCAACAAATTTTATATGAAACTGAACCTTATGAGGTAGTGATTCAAGATCACCGCCTCATAAGATTCAGTTTCAATCTCAAGTATCTCAAAAGTAAGGCTCTATTTTTTGCCATGTAAAGTGTCACTTTTTCTGTCAAACTGTTTTTATCGTTTTCGTTTACAACAATATATTTATTTTAATTTTATTTTTGTAAACCTAATAAAATTCTTTTTATTGCTTTTTAAAACCGGGGGTGCAAAAAAATTCCGCAATTGCTAAATGACATCTAAACACTATTTTATTCATATTTTTTATATCACTTTTCAATGCTGAACCCAGAATTACATTTGCCAACATCGCGTTTCTCAGTTTGTCACCGCGCATTAACAAATACATCATACGGTTCGCATAGATGTTGATATACCTTTTAATAATTCTATGGAAATCAACTTAATTCTATTGGTCGAAGTAAATCTTCCTAAAAACCGCTCGCCAATCAACCTATTTACTATGCCAGCTAGGTATATATGTTTACGCGCTTGCTGTATGTATGCCATAATCACTTTGAGGTTAAAATCATATATTATGTCATTATCAAATATATAACAATCTGAGATTAAGTAAATATTTGTATTTGGAGAATGAGCTATAACTATTAAGAATCTTCATTGAAATTTTTTATTCAATTAAAATATATCTGTTTTTATGATGTTTAGAGAGATAAACCACTTATCAAGCTCAATAATTAATTAGGTTTCTGGTTAAGGCCTCGTTCAACAGAGTTATCAAATATTTTATTCAAAAATCTTCATTATTTTCAATAGGATATATGATTATTCGCTGTATGTGTACTTACTACATCCATATTGGCTAAATCCAAGTAACGGATTTTTAAATTTGTTGGAGAATAGCAATCCGATACTGACTTTTTTGAACTAAAATTTTCAATTATGGATTTGCCTTCATGGGCTAGTTTTTGTAAGATAAAAGTTGTATATAAGAATATACAATCCTTGGTATCATATATATCTATAAAGGATTTTGAAGTTTCCGAACTCATTCAGTTTATATCAGATGAAATTAACATCAAAGGTCAATTTCAGCTCTTTTTGCGAACACCGAATACAATTTTGAATATCGAAAGTGGGCATATCACTGATTTACTTGAACACATTGCAATAATTCCATCTGGTTCATTCGAATTACAGAAAATCGAAACATTTTTAGAACTCAGAGACACAATTTTATATCCAATTAATACATTTACTATTCCAATTTGCACATTTCAAGGTGAATTTGTTATGGACTATACCGTTAATTTACATACTCCAATTAGAATCATAGATATTTGCTATTCACTTTCAAATATGTTCGATGTAGATAGTGATCAATTCATTCCTTCTACATATACAGGTGAAAAGATCATAGAAACAATGCCGATTAATTTAATTTTGCAAAACAAAGTTTATATTGCTGCAAATCTAGAGAAAAATCATCTAAAATCAGCAAGAAAACGTGCAAATGTCGTTACAGAAATACTTAAAAACGAAGAACTTTACTTGAAATCATTAAACTTGATAATGCAGTATATAATACCATTTATCAATAAATATTCGATACTTAACACCAGAGTTGAAACAATCTTTGAGTCATTCTACATGACAGCAATGATTATTCATCAAGATTCATTAAAAGCTTTCCAAGAAAATGGAACTTCTTTCTTTTCTACGTATGGAACAGCTCTTCTAAAGTTAGCAATGGATCTCAACTCATATAATGATTACGTTTCTATATTTCCTTCATTAAAAGATGCAATTGTTACTCAAAGAGAAAAGAATCCACAATTTGCTGCTGAATATGCTAAAATTGAAGCAATCCCTGAACTCAATGGCTTAGAAATTATATCATTATTGGTCAGACCTGTTCAAAGAGCTCCAAATTACAGATCTCATATTCTAAGACTGATTGAAGCAACTCCTCCAGGTCATCCAGACTACTCAGCGCTATTCATTGCTCTAGAGAAGATGAATGATACACGAAGACAGCAAGATAAATGTGAACAAGAAGAAAATTCAGAATTTAATTTGCAAAAAGAGCTTCCTGGATACAAACTCCCTGATAACGAGTTCTATGTAGACTCTTACAAGGTCACATCTGCTGTTGGTGCTAACAAAATCTTTGTTTTGTCAAGTAATTGGTTCAGAATTTTAAGTCCGAGTTACGCTGACATCTACAAATTCGAATACATAGACACAAATGTCAGACGCGTTGGATCATCAGTGTTTATTTCTCATCCAACAATAAAGAAACCAATAAAATACATTTTCGAACAAGAAAAGTTCGCAAAAGAGTTTGATGACGTTATGCAAGAAACTTCTCAATGGAATGGTCGTATGAACTCTGCTCATGAGCCAGGTTTGAAATGGAAAAAGCTTTCAATTGCTCCAATGAAAATTCAGAGGGCTTCGGCGGTTTTTCTCAATGAAAAATTTTACGTCATCGGAGGTCGTGATGAATGTGGTATTGTCTCGAATAAAATGATGATTTTTGATGGACAATCATGGGCGGTTGAGGAACTTCCCTTCCCTGCACGTCACGATTTAGTATCGTATTCCGAAGGACAAGCATTGTACATGTACGGTGGTGAAGGACCGTCTGGACAATTATCCGACTTCTGGGTCTATCAAGAAGGAGAATGGAAAGAATTACCTGGAATTCCGGAACTTTGCGGTTCTGGCTTAGCCATGTGCGGGTGGCATGGAACAGGCTTGATTCTTAGTGGTGGAAGTCCATTCAAGACTTACTACTTTGACTTTGAGAAGCAAGAATGGTCACGAATTTGCGAAAAATCTCCAATCCCTGACTTAAAGTTCCATTCTATGCACGAGCTTAACAGAAGAGTATATATCGTAGGTGGAAATGACAATTCAACTACCTACGTTATGACTTCTTTAGCCCTTGGCTGGATAGAATTTAATATTCTTGGAATCGAACCAACACCGAGAATTGGACATAGCTTATTTGTTGCTAAAGAGCACATCTGGCTCTTTGGCGGTGCAGGAAGCTCTATTCCTTTCTGTTTGGCACCAGTTGGACAGTGGTTTGTGTTTAAGAATGAATATCAGTTCCCCAAATCGATATCATTTGCATCAGTAGCTATATCTGATAATAATATATACGTATTTGGAGGAAGAACTGATGATGGAATCTCAGATCAGTTGTATACACTCGAATTTTTGAGAACTAATGTAATTGACAGTGATTACCTGCAATCTGTTTGTAATTAGTGTACTATATGTATGCTTTCAGTTCTTTTATAGAATAAAATTATGTTATTTCTTTCTTTTCAATTTGTATTGCGTTTAAGCTATCATGAAAGGATTTATTGAGATGGAAATTATATACTTGTACTTTCATGTATATAAATTATCGTTTGATTTTGGTTGAAAAACAAAATATTATTATTTTTAAAGCCAAAGCATCTGGAGAATTGGTATGTTCGGCATACACTTTTGATTTCTCTTATAAATTTCTATATGTCTAGCTCAAAGCAAGGTTTTTTCGTATGAAATATTTGAAATGACGGTAAACTTGTAAGCGTAATATAATTTAGTATTAAATATATCTATGTAATGCTAAGCAAATTCAAAGTTTAGTTAAACATTCATATGGGAAGACATCCTAAAGGATAGATGAAATTTGATTGAATGTCACTTTTAACGATAATTCAGCATCGTTTAAACTAACCCCATCGTTCATAAAAATTAACTGCATAATATGAGTGTTTAAAATATACGGTATTTTACCGGATCTGACAAGAGTTCAATGCTTTTTAAAAAAAACACTACAGAATACCTATATGTATAAATTGTAATCTGACCACTCTTGTGAACTTACTCTCTCAAATTAAATGGGTTAATTTTATCGTTCTCAATTTTTGAGAGAGGAATAATTTAATAGTTTTTGTCAAAAGTATTGGAAACATTATTTTATGCATTAATTTAAATTTTCCAAAATTGAATGATAAATCATTTTCATGAGGAAAGATTTGAAATTCACTAATTATCAAAATTAGCCACTATTAGGGAAATATTGCCGATCATAAATTGAGAGTGGATTTTACATTTTCAATCATTTAAAAATGACCAACAACACTCCTCTTATTGACAATGTTCAGCTGAATAATTACACAGTACAACCAGATGACGACACCAGTGAAGTATCTAGTGTTCATATTGATACAGATGAAATCCCTCACGTCATGGGTTATCGTCCAACTCCACCAAGAACAGACTTAAATCTTCCAACAATTGAAGCTCTCGAGTCATTCAAGAAGCATAGGACATGCTCTGTTGGAAATATTCTTTGGACATTATTCTTTGGTTGGTGGGTAAGTTTATCCTTTGTTATTTTAAGTCTTTTCTTCTTTATTACTATAGTATTCTACAAACATGGCTTATTCTGTCTTAGAGCAGCATGGTTTGTCTTGTATCCATTTGGAAAAATCGCGTATTCAAAGGAAACAACGAAATCAAACATTTTTGCTAAGATTTTATGGTATCTATTACTTCCAATTTATGGTACAACCACACTTGCGTCCGCTGCATGCTCTTGGGAGCTTGTTTACTTCATTCCAATGGCGAAAACAATGTTTAAGTTGTTAAAGCTTGCACTTGTCGAGAATCCTGCCGACATATACTTTGCACCATCTACAGAAAAGAAGACTGGCATCCCTTTAATCCTTTGCAATACCTCAGGATCCTGGTTTTATTTCAAATTCACGATTTACGGCTTCGATGTTATCTATATCAACTTCATGCCATTCGTATTCTTAGCCCTACTTGTCGGTTTCGTCAATTTCGGACATACCGGCCTTGGAGATCCAGTACTTGGAAGTGTATTTGCATTATTAGGTGCAACACCTGCAGCATACTTCATCGGTGTGTGCGTAGATGATCTTTCCAAGCATCTTGGTATTATCATTGGCTCAATTCTCTGTTCAGTTTTCCTTTCATCCATCGAATTATTACTTTACTACTTTTCTCTTCGAAAGGGACTTGTCGACATCACACGTGCAGCCATTACAGGAGCTTTCCTTATGAACTTGCTCATTATTCCTGGTGTTGCCATGTTTGCAGCCGGATTAAAGTGGAAAGAGACAGTTCTCAACAAGAAAGCACAATCCATTGGTGGCTACTTCCTTCTTCTTGCCATTATATCTGTTCTTTTCCCTTCAATCTTCTACCACATCCACGGCGGAACTGATTACAACTGCAATCAGTGCGAAATTAACGGTACAGAGCCAGGAAATCAAACAATTCAATGCAAATACTGTATATCACGTGATTTAAAGAGAATCTATGATGATCCAATCTACAAACTCTATGCAGCTCCTCTTATGTATATCACTACATTATTAATGCCAGTTATTTTCATTATTTCTGTTGTTTTCTCTGTGAGAACACACGCGCACATCTACAAAGTTGATCACGTAGAAGAAAACTCAGGAGGAATGTCCCAATTGGCTGCAATTATTATTTTGGCACTTTCCACTGTCACGTTTTCTTTAATGGCTCATGTTATGACAGAAAAGATTCCAGAAGCATTGGAGAAGATGCATTTCTCAGAGAGATTTGTCGGTCTCATCTTCTACACGTTGATTCCAAACGCCGCTGAGTACATGAACGCAATTAAGTTTGCTTTGAATGGAAATATCGGTTTGTCAATGGAAATTGGAAACCAGGGAGCTATTTTGACCGCTCTCTTGGAAATGCCCGCTCTGATGCTCATTTCTCTTATTTTGTTTAAGACAAAAGTGACAGATGTAATGTTTACAATGATTTTCCCTGTCATTGACATTGCAAGTATTGTTGTAGCTGTATTCCTTAGGAACGCTATTCTAATGGAAAAGAGAATCAACTATTCCACTGGTCTCTCTTTCCTTATTATTTTCTTATTAATTTCAGTTGTGTATTACTTCGAAAAATTCTAAAAATATTTATATTAACTTCTATGAATTATAATATTTAGAAATATTGGTATTCTTATTGATTACAATAAGCTGAATGAAATTGTAACGGTAATTTGTTTTTGATATTTTTGTTAAGGATGCACACACACTCATCTGACTTTAATTCAAACTAGCTTCTTACCATGGGATTAAGCTTTAATCTTTTATAAAAACAATCAAGTTGATTCTTTTTATTCAAAAATTTTAAAAAGATGAAAAATACGCTCTATAATACATATAAATCCTAGTCTATCATTTTCGGAAAAAGCACGTTATAACTCATGTTAGTGGAAGAAGACATTTTTTAGATGTGCTGATAAATGTAGAATTGATATACATCATAGAATATATATCTCAATGGATATTAATGAAGCGTTTAGGTTTAAATTTCTAAATATTGGAAAGGAATAATTTGGTCATTTCTAAATATTGGAAAGGAATATTTTGGTCATTTTCTTTACACTAATATAATATCTTTAATTATAAGTTATGAAAACTCTTTTATTGACGGAAGACCATATTAAAATTGAAATGGTGGAATCCGGAGCCTTAAAGAAATATCTATTAACTTTTAATATTTTTATATATTTTGCTTTATTTTATTTATATATCTTTAAGAGAAAGGGACAGACTAGCCCATTGTCACTTTTTAATTTAGCAAATGAACGCTTATGGAGTGGAGTTTTTGGGTAAATCTGATTTGCTTATAAATGAAATAAAATCAAAAGAAACCATATTGGCATTATATTATGCAAAAATAAATGATCTTACTTAGTACTTTTAAAGTTAATTTCAGAAAAAATTTGACACAATGGTATCCGGCACATACAAGTGGTGTACAACCAAAATATAAGTTGGTTTAAACATATATTGCTATATCTCATGATCTTACTTAGTACTTTTAAAGTTAATTTCAGAAAAAATTTGACACAATGGTATCCGGCACATACAAGTGGTGTACAACCAAAATATAAGTTGGTTTAAACATATATTGCTATATCTCATGATCTTACTTAGTACTTTTAAAGTTAATTTCAGAAAAAATTTGACACAATGGTATCCGGCACATACAAGTGGTGTACAACCAAAATATAAGTTGGTTTAAACATATATTGCTATATCTCATGATCTTACAGTTAGTATACCTAAGTCGTGTACAGAGGCACTGCGAGCCTCCTTACACCTGATATGTGAATTTGACACTTTACAAAACCATTAACGTATATTTTACAACACAAACGACAACACCAACTTAACCTTAAATATTTACAAAGCCGCCAACCACTTCACCTCACTAACGTTTTCACAAACGACTTCACTACTGTAAAAATAAAAGTTCTCACTTACAAAAGTATTGCAACTCTTCCCATTGCTGTGCTTCACACAATAGTTCATATTCTTCAGTATCGCTGCTGTCGCTCCAATCGTCAGAGTCAAAATCACTGTCAAAATAAATGTTAGTAAGTTTTGACAAAGCTAATGAAACACGTTTACCGTTTGTATCGTATGCTTGTATAAACTTTCCATTCTTCATTCCTTCATAAACGCTCAAACTAACTTTACCCTTTCTCCCTCGTATCTGATAGAATGTATTTTCACGAGGAACGAAGAACAAATTCTTGAACTCATGACCGTTGTAGTTTGTTATCTCAATAGTTTTCGTCATTTATATAAAAATAAACTTAAAAATTAATGATATCACCACCCTCACACGTATGAAAACATCCATTTAAGTTTAGGGTAGAAGGGTAGATCTAACCTCATTTCTACCCTCATTTCTAACCTTGTTGAATTCATTGCTTTATAACTCTCTTCCTTTCTCCAACTCTTCTAACTTCTTCCTAAGTTCAGCAATGTTGTCCTCATGAAGTTTAATCTTCCTTAATATACCTTCTCTATCTAATGGTTGCTTTATCTTTCTAAACTGAACTCTACCATCCTTCATAGTATGAATGTAAAAACCTTCTGGAATAGTTCCTGATTTAATGTATTCTACCAAAAACTTTTGTTTCATTGCTTCAGTGACTTTAGTCGTCATTTCAATCAAATAAAAATTTTAATATTAAATAAAAATAACGTTATTTTTTTCAGTAAGGAAACGCAGGAGTTTTACGATTTATTTGAGGAGTAGGTTCTGGTTTAAATGTTGGAGTCGGTTTAGGAGTTGACTTTTGAATAGGAGTTTGTACTTCCATAGGTTCAGGAGTCATTGAAGGTTTTGCTTGTGAAGGCGTTGGTTTTGACGTTGGTTTTGGCGAAGGCGTTGGTTTTGACGTTGGTTTTGCTTGTGAAGGTGTTGGAGTTTGTTTAACTTCAGCTACTTCAGTATTATTTACAACATTTGCTTTATTTCTTTTCAACATCATAACTGCTCCTGCTGTAGCTAGCAAACCTAGTGGGAGACCATATTTTATATAAGGACTTGACCAAATGCTATTTTTGACAGGAGCTGGTGGAACACCTAACCTTGGTGAGACTGCTCTTTGCCATTGTGCAGCTCGTAAGAAATATTCAATAGGTGCTCCATAATCGTTTGGTAAAGTTTGTTTCATAGATGGTGAAGGTTCGCGAGAGCTTGATGAAGAACTCATTTATAAGCTTTAAAAATAAACGTTCATCCTTTATTCCTCACTGTCGTCAGTTGCTAAGTTATAGTCGTCAAGTCTTATTATTGGTATGCCTGACTGTCTTACCTGAATGGCAAAGCAACAATCCCTCATAAATCCAATAAGTGGCTTTGGTACGTTTTCAGTTGCTAGTTCAATAGGTCCTTTAACAGACAATTTGTATGTTATTGGAGCAGTAGATGTTTGACCTTGCTGGAAGCAAAAGTCCACTTCTGTTGGAAAACCACATAAGAAATGTGTGTTGTCATAGCTATCCCATTTATGTTCCACACTACCATCATCCACCAATGACCTCATAACATCTTCATTAAATCCAATCATATCATTGTTTGTATTGCAAGCGTTCGCAACCATTTCATAAAATACAGGTCCATATGATTTTTCAGGTTCTGCAGGCATATTTCCATAAGCTCCCATGGAAAGCTGAAGATATTTAAACTTAGGGTTCTCAAAATTAACATAATAGTTGTCTTTCTTTCTAAATAGTGCCCAAATACTTTTAACATTAATAGGCGTATAAGCTGCTGTAAATGTTGCACTTGAACTATCTGTATTCTTTGAGAATGAACCGTCCATAGGAATCCAATCCATAACTTTAACAGGAAAACATAAAGCCTCGTTTGTATAATGTTCTACAAGTTCTGTATAAATGTTAGGGTCTAAAGAGAATGACTTTGGATGAATGAAACATTCATTAAAATCCATCTTTGTTCGAAATAGTTGCTGGTTTACAGTTGTAATAGTAACTGTTCCACTAGCTTCTACTGCCTTCGTTATCATAGTGAATGGTTCATTCCATGGAACAAATTTATTTGTCGGTGGATTTGAATCTGAAGCAAATGCAACTTTAAGAGTTGGATTGAAAGCAACGATATCATTTACAGATATAGATGTGCATTGTAAGGCGTCGCTACTGAACTTTACTTTAAGCTGAATGTTTCCTGCAAAAGCTGGAATAAATCGAATAGCTTCTAATGGAAGGAATCTTCTAACAGGAATTCTTAAACGAAGCTTAAAATCAAATGATTTTCCTGCTGTAATTGGACCACTAACAATTTGTCCTGTTCTGCATGTTCCCGAATGACTCCATACATCTTCATGTCGAGTCTTTGAGAAAACATCTACTTTCTTTATTTGTTCGGTAGTTTGTGAGTTTGAAGTTATATATGCTTCTTCTCTTGCGTTGTCTTGAGAATATACGATACGACCATTTGCAAGGATTTGATATCCAGCAACTGCATAGAAAGCGTCATCGAAACCAATCCAAAATCCTGGTGGGTTTGTTTTATTGGAACCTGAACCAATTTCTTTATCTGCAATAAATTGACCTTCCATTTTATACGTAATGAATGTATTGTAAAGGTCCAACATATTTTCACCAGGAGGTGAGAGATTGAATGTTACCCATGTGTTATCTTTAGCAGTTCCAGGTTGTGATGGAATCTTTGCGTCAGAATATTTTCTATTAGTGTCACCAATTTGAACTGCATTGTCTATGATATCGAAATATGAGCGAATCTGATGAATATGCTCTGCTGGAGTAAATTCGTTTAACTGTTCGTTCTGCATGTATTTACTTCGGATAAAAATATCTATTTACTTCATTATTCTCACTCTTCTTCTTGGCATTCGTGGTGGAAGTTGTTTCTTGACATTTTCAATGAACTGTACATTCTCTTTTGTCTCAACTTCTTTCACTGGCGGGTCAGGGTTCTTTGACTCGGTTTGTTTTTCAATGAAATTCACGAACTTTGCAATAAGCTCTTGGTTCGTTATTGAAAGTACATCTGGCTTCTTTTCTTCTGGTTCTATTGACTTTTCAGTTTGAACAGAAGGTTTTATATGGGCTTCGTGGACTTCATCCTTGCCATACACCTTAATGTTGTCGCTTTCTGCATTCGCTAATGGAACCTTTCTTTTTCTTACGTATATTTTACCATCTTTACTCTGACTTACGTAATAGAAAGGATGTTGTATTCCTCTTGCGTCATTTAATATAATAGACTCTCGCTCTGATTTTGACAAGCTCATTTTACATCGGTTAAAGTTTTAATTTTGTTTTTTATCTGCAGTCAAATGACTCAGACAAGTCATATGGACAAGACCCAAGGGGTCATAGATGTTGAAGCATTGAAGAAAGAAATTCGCGAGCAAATTTTATCCGAACTGAAGGAACAAAAACAAGAACAAAAGCCAGAGAGACCAAAGAGAAAACTTAGTGAAAAACAACTAGCTGCATTAGCTGCTGGAAGACAAAAGAACCCACGTTTGCTGGCGAAGAAAGCTAGAGAAGAAGCAAAAGCAAAGGAAGAACAAAAAGCTAAAGAAGCTGAAGCAAAGAAAGAGTAAATGGTT